TTACCTACCTACCTAACCCTATATTTAAAAAAATGCAAAACTCAGTCTCTCAAACAAACACTCCACGGTTCTCATTCTCAATGTCCGGGCGCGACCTAAACTAGAGAGGACTCCCCGGGGTTCCTCCGACACCCGGACACAACCTCATTCATACTCTAATTGTGTACATACCAGTTTTTGCAGTGGACTGACAAAGATAGTGCCCATTGCGTACTTTTATTATTTATGTAAAACATTTTAATATATCTGATATAGTCTTTATTAAAATATACTCTATACATATATGATTATATAAGATTGAAAAGCTAATTCATTATGCAATTTACAATATTATCGACGTGTATGCAATACGAACAATTGCCAAGTAAATAATAACTATAAGTTTAATATTATTATTGTGATTGTTATGAATCTAATGTCAAAAAATTCTGTATCTGAATAGTGATGAACTTTTGATACGATGCACTTCCACAACCTAACCACAAACACACATATGTGGACAGTACATCGTGCACGAGACACTAGCATTGTCAGTCGCACAGATAAATTATTATTATAAATGTTACAAACTAAGTCATCGTGCCCCGTTGCCTTCGCTCGTGCAAATAACACTTGGGCATGTGCATGAACTTAGGCAACGAACACGGGAAAGTATCCTGAAAATCCTGACTAAAACAACTGGTTATTAATAATTAACTAATCGGTATCTATTCTCAGTTAAAATGACTCGACTTGTTATACGTAATATATCAACAACAGAGTACGTTAATATTGAAAGATATTATTATTCAAGAAAAATTTGTGATTGAAATTTAATTGTTCAAAATGTAAGACATTAATAAAGATTTCATGGTAAAATAATTTACTTTGCAAATTGAAATAAATTTGTTAAATTATTATTCAAAATATTAAATTAACCTTGGTCGATTCTGTCGTCAAAGTAAATTTAAAAAAAAATAAAATTAACATGCATGTTCCTTTGAGTTGAAAATCGACCAGTCGCGAAACGCCTTCTTGCACATAAAATACATCATATGATGTATTAATTAATAAAACGAATATTTAATAATTATATTAATGATGTAAGATATTTTACTCAATCATACGATTAATATAATGTTTTCACATTATATTAATTCGTATTCTACTCAATTATTTAATTCATATAATGATAATAAACATATTTCATATATTTTATCAAAATTGTGTAATAATCATATTGTGTAATATTTATTGATAACATTAAAAAACGCGAGTGCAAGAAGACCCTAGCCTGCTCTAAAAAAATATAACTCATGGGTATTATTCATACCCGCGGTCACTTAACTCGTCAAAAATACCAAGTATACAACTGGTCACCCGTGTTGATTCAGATATTTCATCCTACAACATGGTTGGGGACCAGAGGAAACAAAATAGCATGCGACTCACCAACTGTAGAATTCAAGCACCCAGGCGACGATGTTGCCTAGTAGGAGTCATCAGCGAAGTCATCAGCGATGTTAGAAACGAAGTCAGCATCAAGGTCAGCAGCGAGATCATCGTCGAGTTTCTCTGAATCCACAAGTACGATGATGAGATGTCAGGATCCTTTAGAAAGAAAGAGGAAATGTTTTTACGAAAAGGTTTCTACCGTATTTGAAAACTTGATGGCAAATTTAGATCAAACAATTTTTTTTAAGCGTACTCGGAACAAAATACGAAGAATACTTACATTTTTCGCACGTGGGCATCGCCAAATACTCTTTTTCGTATAGATACAGGTTTCTTGTCGAAACGTGTTCACAAACTCTCAAAGCATTATGGTGTCGCGTCTATACGTGACCGTAGTTTTGACCGCAGTTGAGAGTCTCATGTGGTTGAATTGTAATTACGAGCTGCCACAGAAATAAAACACAAATTTGTTAACAGACACTTATTAATATTGGATAAATGCATCGATGGATAATGACGAAAAGAAGAGAACCGGTTAAAAATGAAAAATACGTTTGACCGTAGTTGAGCGTCCCGTGTTTGAATTGTAATTACGGGCTCTTACAGAAATAAAACACAAATTTGTTAATATGCACTTATTAATATTGTATAATTGCATCGATGGAGAATGACGAGGAGAATAGAAATGGTTAAAAATAAAAACTACGTACCTAATTAGACGCGAAGCTGTCAACGCACTTCTCACACCACTTTCGAGACGAAGAATGACGAACAGGATCGGACACGATCACGCGCGAGGAGTGGGGAGTGGGGTGAAGGAGTCACGTAGTCCGTCTCGACTCTTGATGTGTATCTTCGAAAGAAAGGTTAAACCTTATATCTCGAAGAACTGAAAATAAATAAAATTAAGACATGATGTAAATAAAATTAATATAAAAAGATATGAAACAAACAATTAATTAAAGATTTATAATCTTTATACTCCTGTGACGTCACAATGAGAAGCTGTCATTGGCTCATCTAATATCGATCTGTTATTGGTTGCATATATAACTAGATCAATTAAAATATATTAATTATAACCATATAATGCGTAAGTATTAACTTTCAATCTAAATTTCAATCAGTTTTTCATATAAAAGTTTCTTTTGTTTCTACTAAATTTTCTAAAGATATTTATTTTAATTCTCACTAGATATCCAACCTTCTTTGTCGCGGTGTCGATAACATTGAACTTGACGCAGTGTGGTAAGAAGTCTTCTACAGGCATAAACGAAGTGTGAAGTAGACGCCGAACGCGATATTTTTTCGTAACACAGGGATTAAGGGCACAGACAATGCATAGTATAGACGCATAAAACAACAGTGTTAGTGTCACGCAGATCAGGAATTCATGAGTCCATCTCCAAGGTGAAGTCGAGAGGCCGGCGTCCGAGAATGTAAACACAACCTGACCGAGCTTTTAAAAGATAAGAAACGTATCGCATCATTATCCTTGGCTTAGGAATGCTAACAATGGTAAGAATAAAATTATTTTTAAAGAATATTATAGAATACACTAGAAATAGGTACAGACGAGTAACAGACAGGAACAGTATTCAGTGGGAGTCCTATGTCGCAAAAGAAAAACATCGTGAAAAATTAATATATTTGTATATTTTATACATATTATTTGTCTATTGTTGTTGCGTTCACTCAATTTATATGAAAAGCATTTATTAAAATTTCAATTAAAAATGAATATATTTACATATTAATTAGTACATATTTCAATAAAATGAATTCCCTATGTATATCGATATTTCATCTTTAAGAGACACTATTGAATCTATCGAATAATCGAAAGTCGGATGCTGCTCATTGTGACGTCACAGGAGTATAAAGATTATAAATCATTAATTAATTGTTTGTTTCATATCTTTTTATATTAATTTTATTTACATCATGTCTTAATTTTATTTATTTTCAGTTCTTCGAGATATAAGGTTTAACCTTTCTTTCGAAGATACACATCAAGAGTCGAGACGGACTACGTGACTCCCTCACCCCACTCCCCACTCCTCGCGCGAGATCGTGTCCGATCCTGTTCGTCATTCTTCGTCTCGAAAGTGGTGTGAGAAGTGCGGTGACAGCTTCGCGTCTAATTAGGTACGTATTTTTTATTTTTAACCATTTCTATTCTCCTCGTCATTCTCCATCGATGCAATTATACAATATTAATAAGTGTCTGTTAACAAATTCGTGTTTTATTTCTGCTATAGCTCGTAATTACAATTCAACCACATGAGACTCTCAACTGCGGTCAAAACTACGGTCACGTATAGACGCGACACCATAATGCTTTGAGAGTTTGTGAACACGTTTCGACAAGAAACCTGTATCTATACGAAAAAGAGTATTTGGCGATGCCCACGTGCGAAAAATGTAAGTATTCTTCGTATTTTGTTCCGAGTGCGCTTAAAAAAAATTGTTTGATCTAAATTTGCCATCAAGTTTTCAAATACGGTAGAAACCTTTTCGTAAAAACATTTACTCTTTCTTTCTAAAGGATCCTGACATCTCATCATCGTACTTGTGGATCCAGAGAAACTTGACGATGATCTCGCTGCTGACCTTAATGCTGACTTCGTTTCTAACGTCGCTGATGACTCCTACTATGCAACATCGTCGCCCGGGTGCTTGAATTCTACAGTTGGTGAGTCGCATGCTATTTTGTTTCCTCTGGTCCCCAACCATGTTGTAGGATGAAATATCCGAATCAACACGGGTGACCAGTTGTATACTTGGTATTTTTGACGTGTTAAGTGACCGCGGGTATTTTTTGTACCCAAGCGTAGGAACATATACATATATGCCTACATAGGTCGGAAAGTAAAAAATGTCTGGGCACTTGAGATTATGCGAGTTCGAATTTCAGCTGTGTTGAGAGCAAGAAGGATAGACTCACATTCGCCGCCTTTCTCGAATCCTTGAAGATATACTTTTTCAATCCCTCCCATAGTCAACTCACTTGTATTTACGCACGCATTCAGCTGGCTGCCCATTAATACTAATTCAGTGCCTAGTTTCTCAACTGACCGTCATCCATGAGAAGAGGCCACTAAAATCACCTCCGAATTTTCAGGTCGGTATGGCAGTCAGATTCGGCCGCGAAAGTCCATAAGGTGAAAGGTCTATTCATATACCTCGTCTGTGGTGAGGTCTACTCGTATACCTCGTCTGTGGTAACAGTAATAAAAGACAAATTACGATCAAATTTCTGTAATTTCATATCCTACCATAACAGGCGCTATGCTCGTTTTCTATAGCTTGACGGTAATGTTGCGCGTGACACCGAAATGATAAATGGCCGAAAAAGTACATTGGATGTAACGTCTATTTGTATGCGTCGTCTATGGTAGTTAACTATCGATAGTTTTCGAGAATTCAAATTTACTATCATAGTCACACAGGAAAAGTCTATCGATAGTTGACTAAAAACATCGATAGTTTTCGATTGTGAAAACTATCGATAATTATCGATATACTATCGATAGGACTCCACCACTGCTACGTAGCTCTCCGAACCATGTGACACGAAAATGAGTATCTAGTTTGTGCTATAATCATGGATAATTATCGGCTCTGATATTTATTCTTCTTACATAGAAGATGCAAGACATGATTAATTGTCATGATTATTACTATTTACCATCAATATCAACGTCCACGTTAAGTAAATTCATCGTGAGTGGTTCGTCAAAGAGGAGTGGAAATATTTGAATTGCAAGCTATGAGTTTTGAACACAATTCCACTCAACCAGTGCAATACGAGATCTTTTGTAATTGTAAGTTGCAGGATTGTCGCTGCGGGGAAAACAATGGTAATGATTATGATTACAAAACCTTCAGACACTTAAAATTTCTCTATTCTTTTTAACAGTAATACACTTCTATTTATTTTTGTCAGTCATAAGCCATATAAATGTTATTATTTCATGATAAACATGAATTAATTGTTTACTCTGAGTACTGAATATATTTTTGTTATTTTTTAATGAATTGTTTTGCACTATTTATGTGTTCACTTATAGTATTCGAGTGGACATGGGATAAAGAACAAGCCACAGATGATGTTGTTTTATCAGAACAAAACTTAGAAATTCAATTTCGCTATAATCATTTTGGTATAAAAGCTGTGAAGGGTAATAAATTATTAGAAAAAGAAAAACATCATTATTGGGAAATTAAGATACTTAATCATATTCCTGGAACAAATATTGTCAGTATTTAATTCAAATTGTTTGCATCTATGGGTGAACAAGATTCTTTTTGTTATGAACAACATAAGAAAATACTTTTAGGTAATTGGGGTTGGAACAAATAACATGGACCTGAATGGTATAAAGGATGATTTTTACCTTGGGTTCAATTACCAATCTTATGTTTTTTCTTCTCGAGGATATATACAACATAATGAAGACAAATGCTCGTACGGTCCTTCCTTTGGACAGGGTAGTTTAGTCGGGATATACTTAAACACATGGAGGGGTACCTTGGAATTTTTTCTTAATAGAAAACCTCTTGGTAAATAGAATATGATGTTCTAGATATTAATATATTTAATGTATTTTCTAGAATTATGATTTTCATTTTAGGGATTGCTTTTAATGAACTTCGAGGTATTATGTTATATCCTTTAGTGGGTTCTAGAAATTCAGAAAGTAAGATTAGATTAACTCATAGCTGCTCTGTACCAGCATCTTTACAAGTAGAATGTTTGGCAGTTTTAAAATCTTCCCAAAGAGAGTATTTATCAACTATGTTACCTGGATTACAACATCTTTCAAAGAGTATTTTTGCAGATATATTGAAAAAAAACTTAAGTAAGAAAATTCATGAAATTTTTACTAAGAAAATACGAATATTTGTTTATGAAAATTACACCACCTTTCATTGTAGGTGATAATGATGAAGAGAAGGATGATCTTGATTTTCTAACAGACTGTATGATTTTTGATGAATATGATTTTGCTCTAGTAGGTTGTGGGAGAAAGAAAGAGAAGAAATGAGTGTCAACAGAATATAGAATTCGTGATTTCTCATTCACGAGGACACATTTTATACGATTTATGCGTAGACCATTTAATTATATTTTGTAAAGAAACTTGTTCGCGTTCAGAATATAAAAATATATGCGTGGTAACAAACGTGTTAATCGTGTAGGTCGAGACGACTAACTGTGCAAAAATTTTTAGTACACTGCCTATCGTTTTCTGCGATTCGTTGGTTTTATGGATTTATCGTCTATACAAGTTTTACGTTTCTGATTCGATGTAACAGTAGCATCGTTATTAATTTTTGCACAGAAAACCACAGCTTGCGCCCAACCGGCAAGCGGACCCCATAATTCGCGCAAGTGATTGCTGACTTCCGCATGAATTTTTGGCGTAACTGTTTTGTGTTGTCCTAGATGGGGCAAATAATTTGCTCTAGCAATTTGAAATATATGAGTATCTACAGGAATGGCTTCTAAATGACCTAATGACATTAAACATATACAATCTGCAACTTTTGGTCCAATCCCTGGAAGAGTAATTAATTGTTTCCTAGCCTTGGAATATAATACATTTTCTTTTTTATGTAGATTTAAAAGCCACTGTCTTCCACCCAGTGCAGCTAAACTTTTTGCTGCATTTGCTATATATCCTGCACGATATCCAAATTTTTCTTCCTTTAATTTTAATTCTACATTTTCCTCTGTTAATGCCTCGATAGTTGGAAAACTGTAATAATCATCCTGCTCGACCGAACAAATTTTTTCACCAAATAACGAACATAATTTCTCCACCATTCCTGATATCCTGAAAAGATCATATATTTAAACAATATATTTGTCTCAAAGTATGCATCTTAACACACCTTTGTATATTGTTATTTGAACTACATATGAAAGAGAATGTATTCTCAACAACATCTTGATTCAAGATCCTAACACCGTTTGTTTTACTTGAAAACTTTTCAAAATGTTGATCCGCTATAGCCCATTTTTTACAGTGATCTGTTAATGACACATCTAGCCTAAAATACCTAGATAAAACCTCATCATAATTTTTAGAATCCTCTAATGGACCATGCACAGTGTAAATCAAATGTGTGTCATTTTGTTCGAGGGTCCAAATGCATCCATCAAATACTCCCCTATAAGCATTATTATAAGGAAACCATCTGAAAGTCATTTATTATTTGTAATTTATTGAATGTACGAAGAGTGTTTGTAGTTTAAAAAATCACGATTATATCGAAGTGTTTAAAAATGTCTGTCAGTATTGTACAAATATTGGTTATGTTGTAACGAAGAAATAAATTTATCATTATTTAATATTTCACCTAAAACTTTGGCCTCCTTTTAAAGTGATGCCCAAGTCCAATTCCGTCGGCGGACAAATGATTTTTCCTTCTTTTTTCTTTGCTTCATCTTTGTGCATTTTCATGATCGTTCGTCTCGAAATTCTCACGTAACTTTCAGTAATTTTTCTTAATGTACAGCACCGAATAGTTAACAACGAAAATTGATAGCACGAAATACTGAATGATTTATAAAGGATCAACAACTACGAGTTCTTTACCGTTGCGATTGATAAAATATTCTGCTGTGAAAACCCGCGCTTTTTGGCGTGCGTCTACGATCGATGGTAAACTTAAATTCTGCTTTCCGACATTGTAATACGTATTCGTAATTTCTACTTTTCTTTGTGCATGAACATAATGTTAAGTGAATTAAATATGATTATAAGTATGTTCATGCACAAAGAAAATTAGAAATTACGAATAAGTATTACAGTGTCGGAAAGCAGAAGTTGGCGGTGTCTTCAAACAAGCAATAGAGAAAAATAATTTTCGATCATATGGAGCTTTCGCGGCCATCGAGAAATGAACTTTTTTAATAAGAGAATATATTGGTACAAGAGTTTGCGTACAACTTCTGATATCATTATATTCTCCTTCTCTGTTGTTAAGTGAGGTTATGTTCGGTTTTTACCATTAAAAAATAAATTTTCGTATCAAGAAGATAGAATTGAAGTTACGCAGAACCTCTTACACGCTCGTGTGCTCCTGTTACTTCGTTCCCCAACTAGGAACAGTGTTTATATTGTTTTTTTATCTACATTTTGAGCTTGAGCAGGTAGCCTAATCACAGACGAGGTATACGTATACCTGGCTGTGTCATAATATATAAAAGTGGATTAGCCCAACGATCGATGTCAATTATTTATAAAATCTGTCGATAAATTACCCTCATTTGGTAACATTTACTCGTTAGTATGAATTTGTAAATATTTTAATTTGGGACACAGAGTAATTTTACTCCGTACTAATACATAATCTATATATTACATACATGAACAAATAGATTTAATAAAGTTTCTCTATAGTGTGTTATCTGGGCAAATTTCTTCGTTTCGAATAGGATATCATGACGGAAAGCTTGGAAGGGCAACATCAACAAGCTTATCAAACAGAAGTAGCCTTATCTAACGACATTCCTTTCTAACACAACGATAAACACGAGTGAACCGTACGCGTTCCGTTAACGTCAGGTTTTCAACAGCTGGAAGCACGTCACTTTCGAAACGCAAGTTGACAGCGACGTAATCGAGAATCTCAGAATGCACCGTCCACTCTGACCGGTTTTTAAGAGGATTCTTAGGCCATTGCGTTAACGGTAGAAACCCGACACACTTGAATACCTGATGCTAAATATACGAAGCTGTCCCCCTGGGGATTACTAGTAAAAAGTATTTACCAGTCACGTTAAATGTTTTATACATTACTGTACATTTAAGTAAATTGTACAGTATCGTGACTAATAAATAAATACTCGAAGTATTACTTTTGATTCCTTCGTTCCCATATGTGACCTTGAAACTGGTTCCGACAACCGACGAGCGTTGGCAGCAGCAGTTAATGACTTCGTATATTCATTTACAATTACATTGAAGATTCAAATGCACGGATCATTTTATGAAATATTTCATATTTTACTAACTTTGAGCCAACCACAGTATCGAAGTTTTATTTACACTACCTTGTTAGGCTACCTTTCGTAGTATTCGCGAAGCGAGCGGCGGTTAACCGGTTGTCAGCTGTTCGTCGAAATATTATTCACCGCGTTTTGCAGGTTCTTGCACTCTCCGTCACCGTTTCGTCTAGCCGGCGGCATCAGGCGGCCGCCATTTGCCGAGAGAACGTATTGACGGTCACTGTCGGTCCCTGCCGGATGCCATGAGCGGGCAGTTGTGTGTTAGCCGCCGTCAGAATTAGACATATGTATTCCGTTATAATATAACATCATGGACGATGAAAAATTAATATTTTTAGTACGAAACAAAGAGTGTTTATTCAATCTTACCCACAAAGATTACACTGATATCGGTTTGAAAATGAGAATATGGAAAGAGATTGGCGACGAGATGGGACTGTCAGGTAAATAATAAATATTAATTGCTATATCGTTTGTGAAAGTCAGTGTAGAAACGAAACACAAAATAAAATATAATATGCTCAAAACAGACCGTCGTAATTTATTATTTGCTGTATGAAAATAAGCATTTACGAAATGTACACGGATTGGAGAGGGGAGTAATAAATAATCTTGTACTTTGGAAGCTTTGGTTTCGATACTATCTACATTTAATAAAATAGTGTAATATATGTGGTATAAGATGGAACGTTACCAATTTGTTGGTAATGGCGTTGCAAAGAAGTAACGAAAAACATAAAATTTGATATTTTTGTTATCATAAACCTACATGAATCATTCTGCCTGCGTGTCTTATCGTGCTCTGGGCTGTCCGGCCGCCAGCCGCAGGTAGCCCGAGAAGGTCACACTTTGTCCGACTCGTTCTAGCTGAACCCTGTCCACTATCTTTGTTAAACGACGCAGGGTCGACCTAGCTTGATATAAAAAAAGAAAATGAACTGCAGTCAAACTTCTGCCACGTACTTACAGTTCTTGTTGAGAGATAGAGAACGACTGCTGCTTCATTTTCACCAACAGATAAAACCCTTTAATAACGACTCGAGTGAGAACATTTCTTGAAAGTACGACATAATTCCATGAATCAATGATTCTATTGTGGGTTGAGAGTTCTATAAAACTAAATAAGAAAAACTGCTATTGAATAGTATCGGACTTATTGACAGTGTTGGCAACAGTATCGTGTGTTGCAATGCAATGCAAGAATAGACCAGTAAGGTTTACATTTACTTTGTTTGCGAGAACTGTGTTTATTATCCGCCATTGTCAAACACTTTGAAGTTGTCAGACTTCGTCAATCATGCCTCAATTATTTACGAATCGAGAGTATCAACATGGCTAGATCCCTACAATTTGGTTTCAAAGATCGCTCAATCTCGTATTCTGTGCTCGATGAATTTGTAGGGAAACTTAACGAAGCAAAAATAAAAATGAAATACCTGGATAGGTATAATAGTCGTGAAACAATTTTAGTCTAATGTGCGTGTCTGGCCAAAGGCACTACGAAAGAGATTCTGTTGTTTTGTCTACTCGAGTATCTCATCTCGTGGATGAAGTATGCAGTCTTATCGAAGTGTACTTTTACAATAACGAATACATTCAGGAATTTATTTTAGGGGCTGAGTGTAAATACAGGTGGTTCAGCTTAAGAGATCAGTACCGCAGATCAGTGAGAAGTAGTAAGAGAACTTCGTCGGGTCAAAATAGAAAATGGAGGTACGATCACGCAATGTCATTTTTATTGCCGCACCTTCAGGAACGAGACACGTGGTCGAACGTTTCGGAAGAGATCGAGTCCGAGGACCCCAGAATTCTCGATGGAGACGAGGCCGTGAACCCATCCAAAGAGGACCATTACACGTTGCAGCGACATCTCGATCCATTGTTCATCGAACCGGAGCTAAACTCCTCGTCTTCGCGAGATGAAAACGTTATCGCTACTTTCAAGCCACCGTCCCTCTCGCGATCGAAGAAATCGAAGACCAAACAAACGGACGAGACACCGACGGCCGCGTCGATCTCGGAGCATCCGATGGACGCGTTCCTTTACGGTGTCGGGCAAACGATAAAAACTTTTCCACCGATCTATCAACACATGGCTAAACTGAAGATATTCAACATCGTGTCGGACATAGAAATGCAGTTACTAATAGCGCCGCAGACGCCAATAGGAACTCCGTTCATTCAAATTAGCACCGACGATCGGTTCCTGAGCCAAAAAACGTTTACTCAAGAGATACCAATGGCGGACTGTTCGCAAGACAATTACGTGAAAGTAACCGTTCCATGCACTCCAGTGATATACGAAAGTTCTCAATCACCGTCATCGTGTGGAAGCCAATCATCGTAAATTAGTTTCTTGTATCGTATATACGTGTATGAAGTTAGTTTTCTAAGGTTCGACGATTACTACCATAGGGTAAGATTTATCGTCGAGTTAAACGAACGTATAAGCGTGTGATGTTGGAAAGAATTTTATTCGAATAACGGATGACGAATAAAAATTCTAGAGATTATTTGCCACGTTCATCCAACAATTATTCGTTCAACTGGAAACATAATTTAAACGAATAATTCAAATTGTGATTTGTTTATTTTTTATTCGTTATTCGAAATTTTATATCTAAATAAGAATTTCGTCTATCTGTGATGAATTGTATGATTGAGTGTGAACGACGTGTCTCATACAGAGATATTAAACGAATGTTAGATTTTAATATTTTTTGAAATGTTGGTGCTATTTTTGATAATAATATCATTAAACTGTGATTAATACATTCTATAATCTCACTTCAATGTTTTGTACAATGTATAAAACTTTCTCCCTTGATTACCCTTGTAAATTTTTTTCCTTGGCAATTAATACCTTCAAATTTTCAAACAGTTTAACCTTTTAAGTGTGAAATGCTGAAGGTGTATTTAATAAGCATACTCACCGAACGCCTATCTGCGTTTTCCGCACGAGCTTTAATAATACAAATACAAAATTACGATTGAAGGATTAAAAAGGTAATGCACGGTTTCATATTACCTTCGATCGAACGGATAATATGAATCATCGTTTAAACGTATCACCGTGATGTCTCACGGTCCTTTATTTCATCTTTTTTTTTATCATATATGTTTTCTTCTTATCACAGTCGATGCTACGAAATACAAATACAGATTGCTTCTCACGTGTCCAACAATAAATACACAGAAATCTCGGACAATCGCCGTCACACGGGCAACGGGATACATTAACAGCCCTTTTTCTCAGCGCAATGAAGTTAAAGTCGAGTAACTATAAAATATACAATTTCAGAAGAATTAAAAGACAGGGGTAAAACTTTCAGCACGCGTCAAACTAGCATATTAAAAAGCTGACACTCGTTATTCTGGTACAACGAAGGTTTCAGACGACGGTCACGCGAATATACTTCAATCAGAACCGAATCAAATGACACGTAAATAGGCTCGTCCAGACTTCTTTTGTACACCGATCGCAGCACAAAGTGTTTGTAACGCTATGCCGCTGTTTACTTCCTTCTGACACGTCATCCGGTTCTGATTAAATGGAATAAAACGGAATCGTCGCGACAAAAGTATCGTTTGCAAAAGAAATTGCAGTACCGCGAAGGGGGGTTTCAATCTCCTTATTCGCGTCCAAGGCTTTTTTCCTGGTTGGATTCCCAGACGACACCGGACATGAACGCGTTATTATTACAATAATATACAATCGTTGCATCACGCGAGTGGTTAAAAGGCACAGTGGCGTGCACGACCTGTCAATGACGCTTTGACCGAGGCACGTCGAACCAGTAATTTGTTTTATATACTAATTTAGAATGAATTGGTAGGTAGAATGGTGTGTTGTTAAGGCTCGTATACGTACATTAAAACTGCATTCCTTTTCTATCTTTTTAGAAAAAAGAAAGATTCGAGTGTACCGATCTGGAAACAAACTTGATTGCTTTGATATTGACTCTCAATTTGATAGGACGAAACGATATGTTTCGTCATTTTTGCGAGTCAATCAATGTTAAGCAGACGACAGATGGCCGTTCGATTTTATTTTATTCGAAAGAATAAACCAAGTCGTTTTCAATTCGTTCTACGAATCCGGAGTCAAAGGTTTGCCGTTCGACAGCCTCGAAAAATTTCACGAACGAAATATACCGCGAGCATCCATTTTGGACAGCGCATCTGAACGCACGTCTATACACATATGTATATAATATATATTTATACATGGAACATATCGTAGGTTATTCGATAAACAGTAATGAACAGTGTTCCCCATAGAAAGGCGCGTTAGATCCACGGAGGATCTGCCAATGGTGGACGGATCCGTTAATATAGAACAAGTCTCCGTTTACTCGCGAAGACTTTAAAAACTATTTTCGTTTTAATTTTACTAATTTTCCTGCTACGATATTGCGTTTTATACGAAATTCGATATTTTATCTAGACGTACACATGCGTACACAAGTGTACGGCTTGTGTAAATGGCGAAGTGTGTATATGTATACGTATAGGCACGTTTCTTTCATTTTGATTTCTCGAACAAAGCAGTCGCAGAGGTCTCCAAACTAATCTAGTCTCTACGTTTTACGGTCAAGCGATGAAACAACTCTCTCGGTTCAGCTACGTATAATTGCACTTGGAATCGAAGTGAAATGCTCACGCTGGTGGAAGGTCGTTGTTACCTTCCTGATTAAGAAACAACGACGAAAATCTATTACCCTGCGGGGTCCAACGACCCGAAAGACGCGTGTATTTTTATTACACTATACCCATCGAACGTCCTGTGTCATGATGCTTTCGAAACACTTTCCAATCGCTCTTCCACAGTATCTCCGGCTTCGTCCTCCTCTAATAATTCTTCGTCCATCGAATGGACCGATTCTCTCGATAATGTTCAACGGATGTCTCTTACTAAAATCTCGTTTACTTTTCAACCAAACGGATCGAAATAAAAAAAAGAATTCCTTTGGTATTCAATATTGGGACACCAATAGCCACAGCTTACAGGTACTAGGTACTGCTTTCATCCTCCTCGATCACCTTCCACCGATCCCAGATTCGCGATCGTTGACGTCCAAAGACCCTGGATCGTCGCGGACCAGAAATCTCTCCATTCGGATAGCTAAATTTGTGGAACAGGTACTTCCAGTCTGACGCACACGAGGATCTCCGTCCCATTATGCCGAGAGTCCACGCGATTATTCTTTTTCGAACATCGTTTCAAGCGTACCAAGTCTGGTCAGAAGTGTCTTTTGAAAAGGCATTTTTTGTTTTCTCGCGGAAAGTTCCATGGTACAGAACGGGGGGAAAAGGAGGGGGAGGCTTGAACGTCGGCACGCTCGATCGACAAAAGACTACGGGGAATCGTCGTGGCTCTCATAAGCTGCGAGGAGCAGTTTTGCGGGTGGCTTCTTCCTTCCGGTCGTTTTTCGTCTGACATCGACTGGTTCCGACGCGCGTCAGAACGAAACAGCCTCAGAAGCTGCCGCACTCCCGCAGCACGCGATTTCCGAGCGGCAACGGCGGACGGAAGTTGTTGATTACCTGGAACCAGAAAGAAAAGCACCGGGCATTAGGAAACGGGGCCGTGATTCCGCCGATTTGAAATTCATTCGACGCGTCGACTGGGCTAAAAATAAAATCGAGAGAGAGAAAAAAAAATATACGCGGACAACTCGCGTTTTATGCAGCCTGTCTAGCGACCTGGATGGATATTAATCGAGCCTACGGAAAGGCGTTTGGGTGGGTGTTTCGTTCCACCTTAATCGATTGAGGACAGGAAGAGGCGTTGGATATTCTCGCGAGGCGAAATCTGCTCGGAGCATTTCGGGCGAGAACGGTTTCGAGCGGATCGGAACATGTTCGGGAAGTGACGTATTGGACGAATGAAAGATAGGGGAGGTTTAAAAGAGAATATGGAAATGTTCGAGTTTTGAATCTTTTAGGATCGGTAGGATCGTCGTCAATTTATTTACTATAATGAGGTTGGGGAACCTGGGTCTGTTAGCTACAGTAGCTCACGAAAGTATTCAAACCCTTTCAATCTACATCGTTAACAAATAGAACATGTTAGGTTTAAATTTTGAAAATAAGATTGTAAGTAAAGTCACATAGGAGTCTAAAAAATGTATAAGTGACAGACATAGAGATATAAAAATACCGTTTTCGGGCGTCACAAAAGTATTTGTACGCACCAATAAGTCCTGACTCGTTTGATGTTAATATCCAGTTGGCCCTCTTTTGACATTTTTTCAACGGAGTTCTATATTTCTGTTATTTTGTTCTTTTATAAATTGGCAATTTCAAGATATGATTTATTTTTTACATTTACTGGTTTCTGACTTTCTTGTGCTTATGATTAGAATAATCATAAATAGACCGAAATGCAATGTTTACATTTCATTCACTAGAAATACAAAATTCAAAATGCAAATAACGCGTATTTCAGTGAAGAATATGTAGAAATCCTAACAATATTGAAAAAGTTGTTCCTTGACCCCGTAAAGTGAGATAAACCCCATAAAAATGGTCCAATTTTCAAACAAACATAACTCCTATAATAGTGAATATATTTCAATGAAACTTTTTTCTGAAGTAGAGTTCATGGGTACTTACAAAAAAGTATTAGACAAAATTTCCCTACAGCGACAAACAAATTTATTAAAAATAAAAAACGATTTTTTAAGAGAAATCGACAGGGGGTAGCTGCTAAAATTTTTCGGCGAGTAAAAAAAATTTCAAATCTTTCTTAAAAAATAGTTTTCAGTTTCATGCGTCAATTACAATAATTTTTGTTGAATACACATACCTCCGAAATCCTACGCATTTTCGAGAAAAAAATTCAAGAAGGTGGACTTTGTCGTCGAAATTGAAAAGCTTCAAATCACCCTGGAGAAATTATTTTCGGCTGTGGGGGTCAATTACAATCATTTTTGGTCAATAAACATACCTCCGTAATTCTACGCACTTTCGAGAAAAAAATTCATGTAGGTGCTGAATTTTTCGGCGAAATTAAAAAATTTCAAATCGTTTTAAAAAAATTATTTTCAGTTGCAGGGGGCAATTACAATTATTTTTGGTGAATAGACATACCCTCGAATTCCTACTCAGTTTCGAGAAAAAAATTCCTTACCGAAAGTATAGTTTGTGGCCAGAAATGCTTCTTCGAAATTTCATGCGAATCTTTAAAATGTCATAACTCCTGAACGGATTGGACGATTTTAAAGTGTTTCAAAAGGCAAATAACGAGTATTTTGGTGAAAAATATGTAGAAATTCTAAGAATATTTGAAAAATTGTTCCTTAATCCTGTAAAGCAAGAAAACCCCCATAAAAATGATCCAATTCCTCGTTTTCATCAGTTCATATGTATATATGAACGTAATCGTATGCCTGATAATCGAAATTTTACTCTATGTAAATAGGAAGAATTTGAATACTTTCGTGAGCTACTATAGATATTGGACACTGTAAATTCCATTTTGTGGTTCTAAGGTTACATCTACAAATCTACGTACCGCTCCATGGTTTTCATTGCAGGGACACTCTTCTCCGCGCGTGAACTTCCGCAAATTGCGGAATATATTCAGCTGATGGTGGGATACCTCGATGTACTTCTTGAAAAGGATCCAAGTGACGCTCTCGTTGCAGGGTGGCGTTGTCAGAGAGCCCAAGTACGTCCAGTAGCCATTATCATCTGAACAGACAAAGTAAAAACTTGAGGAACACAGTAAACATGCAAGATACTATATTTCATTAAGAATCGCCAGGAAAAGTCGCTAATAATCTATCCCAAGCGGTCAAGAGACTCACGACGGAGTAAATTACAGAACGCAAACGATAGAAAGCGTAATCGCGTGACGAATTAATGCGTTACTGCTTCTGACGTTTAAACTGGCTGCTAATTCATTAACGCGGAAAACGATGGAGGAGAGGGGCAGATATTATGTAACTTCATCAACGTAATGTACGTGCAGTTTCGCATTAAAATGGAACGCGAAGCTGGTTGATCGTTCCCTGCGACCTTTGCACGCATCGAGCATTATCCTCTTTTTTACCCCTCCTCGAACAGTTCTGATAGAACGCGCGTCGGAAAATCCACCGAACCACGACACGCTCGTTGAAACATTAACGATAATACGTGTACCGAGCTTCTTTTCCACGTGCCGTGCGATCACAAAGTCTATAACAACATGTGAAATATGCAGGCTCACGACATTCCTCGGACATTTCTTTCTTTCGCGATTTCTAATTCCGTTGGCGCGGTAATCGCGTGACAGAAATGACAAATCGATTTTTGCAGGATTTAGCAACTACGGTCGAAGCGGTCTATGAAAATTTAAACCTCGTTTTCTGGCACGAACAATAACAAGCGGGGAGGAAAAACAACGTTCGTACGGATAATTAGACGACGTTCAATGGCGATTCGAGCGCACAGGGAATATACGATCAAAGAGACGGGGAAAACCACGAGCGACATTTCGTAGGTACTCACCAGGTAGGAGTTTGCCAGGATTGATAGGTTCGGCAATTTCTACGACTTCGTCCTTATGCGACACGTATGGCAACATCCGCGCTATCTTGTCCATTTCTGGATGTGTCTTGCCCACCTAAAACCAACGATGCACGATATTTACTATAAAATAATCGAGTTACTATGTTACTTATCATATGTAACGTTGGTAAAAGGATAATAGACCTCCATTTTTTGTTCTTTTTTTAGAAATACCGATTTTAAAGTCGAAATAGATAATTTTTGAAATTTTTGTCTTCCTTACTCATTGCACGATTCTGTTAAGTGTGAAAAATTCATAAATTGCGTACTAGATCTTCATTTTTTGTTCTTTGTTTGGAAATACCGATCTTAAAGTCGAACTAGATAATTTTGTTCATGATTGGAAATTTTGGTCTTCCTAACTCATTGCATGATTCTGTTAAATGTGAAAAATTCATAAATTGTATAATAGACCTCCAGTTTTTGTTCCTTGTTTGGAAATACCGATCTTACAGTCGAGATAGATAATTTTTTCATGATTGGAAATTTTGGTCTTCCTCACTCATTGCACGATTCTATTAAATGCGAAAAATTCATAAATTGCATAATAGTCCTCCATTTTTTGTTCTTTGTTTGGAAATACTGATCTTAAAGTCGAAATAGATAATTTTGGAAATTTTTATCTTCCTTACTCATTGCACGATTTTGTTAAATGCGAAAAATTCATAAATTACATACTAAAAACTTGCAATGTACGTACACGAGATGTAAAAAATATTAGGTGAATAATTGGGACCCTCATCGACAGAGTTTGATTTAAGATAAATGATATAAATTCTAAAGAAGTTTTAAGTATTCATTTGTTTGTTCTGAGAAAGCAGAGTAAAACTATATTTATTTATCCGTTAAACTATCAATACCACAGACTTGAATTTATAAAATTACCAAGAAATTACATAGTTTGCAACGGCTGTTAGATAAACGATAAATAATAACGAGCATATTACGTTTTTCCAGACGACCTCCCGGGGTCGTGACCTATAATTTAAGAAGCTCTGGGCCAAATAGGCGTGTCAATGTCCAGGGATCGCGTGACGGAAAGAAAAGTCGCGATGTAATTGACATTCTAAGCTGCTAACGGAGAATTGAATGGTGGAATGTGGTCGTCGCGACTGTTGAGAACGGTGGCTTTTAAACGCGACACAGAAGACGACGGTGTTTTGATCGCGTCGTAAACAGACGGGGGAGAAAGGTTCGCATAGCAAGGCGTGTAAGAGTCCGGAGGAATTGCGGTCAGTCGAATGTTCCACGCGACCGGTATTAATGACTGGCAGCGTTATCTAACGATCATCCAATGTTCATCATTCAGCGAGAATGTGCATAGATTATGATTTGTCCAGGCTGTTGACGCGCTGCCAGCAGGGCGACGCTCGTAATGCACGTACCACTACGTGTGTATTCCAATTACTTTACGGCGTTGTTACGATCGCAATAAAACGTACTACTTCCCGATCTGACAGTCCATTGCAAAAAGTGCAGACTATATTTTTGTACATTAACAACGTACTACCATGTGATTCCTCGCTATACTACGCGATTCCACTTTTATCAGAATATTTAAATCGTTGAAGCGTTCGAGTATTCAAGGAGAGACAAATTCAACGTATCCTCAAGTCTATTCAATAGATAATTCGTTCCAACAACTCCAAACTCGATGAAAATGCTCCGGTGCATTAACATAATTGAAACGATCAATTGTACAATGTCATTTTCCGAATTCATCCCGCATTATTATCTAGTTCCACGAGAATACTCCAACCCAGTGTTTCTCAAACATTCCCACCTCTCACACGATGGAAAACTTTGATGGATCTTCTCATACTAGAATTATTAGTGTGTTAATATTTTCTACATATTTTTAAGTTCAACATTTTTTTACGTGATTGCAAACTTTTTTCTCAAGAATTATAAGTAATTATTGAATTTCTCATCAATGAATGCATTTTAGATAACCTATATGAATATGAAGATGGCCAAAAAAAAATTATAAAGATCGAAAACATTCGTTTGCAAAGTACTAGTGAGGACGAAACAACAAATTAAATTAATTTATTCTCCCAATACTGTAGTATTAAAAATCTTTATTACTTGGTAAAACTATTTTGTTTTCGTTTGGTGTGTAAAATCATCCCTCAACAATATTCTTCAGCTATAAATATCACGTATGATACGTTTTCGATTTGAAGATGTTCGTGGACCACAATTTGAGAAACACTGGTTTAATGCATCGTGTGCGTTTGTTCTCATCTCGCGTGGGCATGTTTCGTTCGAACGACTTCAACGAGCCCGGAATGTCCAGCGTCCATTACGCAATCGAATCATGCAAAGATTTTAAATCGAAATTGGTTTCGACGTTACTCGTCGAATTCTGCGAGATCAAAAGTCGAAATTCGCTCATTACAATGCCATTATACACCATCTCGAATTGCCAGTGTCCAGTACGCGGGATCATGCGAAACGGAAGCAATTAATTCCAAACTGCCGGGCGCAATTCTTTTCAGTACTGTCCAGCGATCGTAATCTATAGTATTCTTTACACCAGGCAATTTAACATGTTTCCACGGTCCTACGTGTCTCTAATTGCTACCAAACTTTTTTTTTTGCCACGTAGCATGATTTTCGTGACAGAAATGTTTATTCATGTAACGCGATAGGCAGTGGCGTGTTATCCTACGAGCAAAAACATCTGCCCGAGAAAATAAACAATACAGAGTCGTGTGTAAAAAGTTCCTCTCAAAAGTAGAAATAATTGTTCGCTCATAAATAAAATATGTTTAAATCGAGATTCAATGGTACCAACTTCGTCTTGTGCTTTTTACATTTGGCTAATTTTAAAGTCAAATTATCGTTTATCTTAAGACAACGTTTTGCAGAACGAACTATCGATTTGTCGTTTAACCCTTTGCACTCTATTGGCGCCGCCACGACGACATACGTAATATGCAAGCATAATTTCTTTTCTGGTAACGTCAAATTTATAGGCATTTTTGTGGAAAAATATTTTATTTTTAGAAATCGTATTAATAAACATTCTCGGATTGCAAAGGGTTAAGTGAATTCTACATTCACAGTCAGACACAAACATTTCCTTTGTTTTATGCAAAATAATGCGTTTTTTAAGAATTCTAAATGTCAAGTCATCTTGTTTGTTACCTTATAAATATTTATTCTCTCAGCAAATGGTCGAAAGTCATTCTACAGACCTTTTGTTTACCATACTTGAAAATAGTTTTCTAAAGAAACGAGAATGTCAAAGTTAAGTAATCTCGAGCACATTGTTATTCGAATACTCGTGGATTGTAGTGACTAAGTAATCGATTGGTTAAATATTCGAATAGAGGAAAATTCGACGAATCCTAGCTCTAGCAGTTGAAGCATCAAAAGTGAATTTCACTTCGTGTTCGAACGATGCTGGATAACGAACGATGCGTGCTCGATGGCTTGCGTAACACGCCATCAACAGATGATGGAACGAACGGCGTAACACTGTTATGGATTCTGCTTACTAAAGCTTTGCTGGCTTATGTAAAAGCTTAAGCGACTATAAATATGCGCGTGTCGGTACGGCGCACCCGTAGAAAGGGCATAAACAGCATATAAACTAATTACAATCACGAGACTTTGCGGTGGCTTCCAGCTGTCGCGAAAAACACCCAACGACGTCGATGGAAATCGTACAAAATCATAAGCGAGTCGATTTCGCAACGTTCGAATGTTTCTCGGATCTACGCGATTAATAAAAATTATCATCTTCATTTCATCTCTTTTCCTCGTCGATTATCATCGTTCAAAATAAGCTCCTTTTTGAGCATAGTTTAAAAACAATTACATCTTGTCAGGACTATTTGAGAACAGGTTTCAATGCCAGATAATTGCACCTGTCAACGGTAATGGGAATCGTGGAAAATTGTAAGTAATTGTTTTCCGCAATTCATCAAATTTGAAATTGAATATATCTGTTAGCCAAGTATACGTTATTTTTATAAAAGTTAATTCATCATTGATTTAATTTTCCGAAGTTTATCCTAGTTTTCTAGAGTCAGTAATTCGTTCTTCAGAGTGATTACGGAATTGTAAATCGTCGTTTTGCCGCTCTACTAATTCACGTCGAATTTAAAAAGCGTCCAATCTTGAATAGCAAAATGGAATTTGTTCAGTGAACCGTGTCGAAACTTCATCGTGCTAGTTATAAGCTAATTATAGTTCTACTTGATTCTGACTGCTGTCTTTACTCGCGGACATTCAGTAATCATCGTGTTATTAGAACGCTGCATCGCAAGGAGGATCGTTATCGATCGAATCGTGCAACGACAGTGAGTAATGCACTCTTACGCTTCCGGGTCGTTCAAAACACGGAACAAATCTGGATCTTACGCCAATCCAGGCGAAGTAGGAAGAAAAATCTGTGTTCCAGGAAATTGTGCGTCGGACAAAACGATTACCAACCTTCAAAAATACACCGAGAACAGCGAGGCCGTCGGGCGCTTTCGCAGCCTCAGCGAAGGTGTTGTACTTGCTGGTGTTCCAATGCACCAGATGCAACTGCAACAGAAAGAAAAAAGAAATTTTTTAATAAAATACAAATTAAAAAGATCAGATTCTTCTTGAATTATCGATCTCTTGGAATTTTTATTTTATAACAAATTTTTGAAATGAATTCCATGAGAAAAAAGGACTTTGGGAAAGTTGCGCGATAAAAAACATTCCTCGTGTCGCTTGCATCACGATAGAAGGCAAATAATAACAGACGTCAATTTAATGAACGTTAATAATTGAAAATTACACCCTGCGACCCGGTTGTCGGAGTCACATTGTTTGCGAAAGCTTATTGTTCCGTGAATCATTAAATCGATCGTGTAATCGTGTAATCATCGGGGCATCTCTCGAACGTCAGAAAACAAACGAAACTGAGCCTCCACTGACTAATTCTTCAAACATCTCGCGAGATAAGTTTCGCACGGTTTTGGGTAAAGTGTTCGAACCGTGTCAACGACGAGGCAAGGCACCGTTAATTAACAGATTCTTTGCAGTCGAGCCGGTGCATCTCGCGATAACAGGGTGGAAAATATTTGCAGAATGAGTGCACGTGATTACCCGTGACTTCGAAAGAAAAATTTTTGTCTCGTTAGTCATTCGATGTTATCTTATCCCTTTCGTTAATGGCACGTTTAATTGGAAACGTACTCGTAATGAATTTTACTCGTTATTTCACGTTTTAAATGTGTATTATGGGGGTTGAATTTCTTGACTTTAATTCAAACTCGAAATTCGATCACAGAAAGAAATGAGCTAAATACACCCCTACGATTCTCTAGTGTACAAATTATACATTCTTTAGAGTCTCTCGAGAGATTCGATCAAAAGGATCGATACACTTGCATTCTACAGACGACTAAACAAAATAAGAGAATGTTTGCGGGGGTAATTACCTGCTTAATGCTAATGATTTCGAAACCTGACGCGTGTCGCGAAAGCGTCATTTAAAATTTTCCACGAAGCGCGCGCTCCTCATCAACCAAGAAGGAAGTGCATTCTCTTCGGTGCATTCTGAGTGCATCGGAGAACGTAAAAGAAACGTGCTTGGAAATTGAATGGAAAAAGGCGATCGTCCAATGATTGTCTGACGCATTCGAATGCGATTGACCGTATCGCAGATTTTATTTATAGAACCGCGTTAGACGATCCAAGATTTTCGTTGGCTGATTTAATATCTCGATAATTCGAAGATTCCAAGCTTAGCTGAAATTATTTATCAAATTTCTCTGTATTCGAATGCTTGAGTCGTTCTACTGGATGCATACTCGGTAGTCTTCAAAGTAGTTTCTTGAGACTTCTTCGATAGTTGCTCGAGGACAAGGATGACGCGAAGTTGTCTGAACGTTTTCTTACATAATTCAATTACAATTTCCATACAAATGTTTGCCTCAATGAGAACGCCAATTATCATAATTGCTTCCCTTCGCGTTGTTCGTCTTTTGAACGTGATGCGAGATGAAACGTTTGAAAACGCATGTGGAAGAGACATTGACGTATAGAATGGTCTTCGAGAAGAGTAGTTTATATTAATATTATAATTCGTTGAAAGTCGTTGAAAATATAAAGTAATTAAAGAACTTTGTGTGAACATTGATGCATTGTTTTGAAAAGTTGAACAACTCGATAGTCATCTAACAACGAACAAAACTGAAAGTGGGACACGTTACTAGCGGCTTTTAATTATCTCGATAAGTGCACCAATTTCGATGCTTGTAGGAGTTTTGCAGGCTCGTTTATACTGTATATTTTGTACTTGATTTCTCAACAGTCATCAAGTATTGTGCAGAGACGAGAAGTTGACTAACGAGTCTGATTGGTTATAGTGCAATCTCCGTCTTGTAAAACGAGGAAGTAGATTATCCCGTGAATGATCAGACGCGGTAGCCAACCCATCTCAGGTCGTTTTCCAACTTTACGAAATAAAAGATATAATGCTATTTAAAAACGTCAAAATGACAATTAATAAATTACATCCTGTGTATAACGTGTATGATTTTATTATTTAAGTTTATTTAGTACTTTTCGTACCACCACACATTTGTGTTATTTATCGATGGAAAACAATTCAATTGACGCACTTTCACGCCTTTATCAACGAAAGGAAACCTTTGACCTCCAAATATGAAATTTATCATATTTCAAGATAAAACCCAGATGAACTTCTAAAGCTGTCCAATATGAATAATATAATCTCCACGATTATTGCCCCGAGAGAGTGCTTTGAAAATATAATAATTTCAAGAAGCAATCGTTTCAATGATGACATTTCTCTAGCGGCCATTTTAGCTATTCAGTACAATAGTGAGACTCCTAGCTGTGTAACCTTCACTGGACAGTTACTATGGAAGTTATCATGATTCTTCATCTAATTCGCGTGTAATTATCATGGTAACGTTGGTTGTAAATATCCACGATGTAACACAAAAAAAAAGAAAAATTAATTTCATTTGCTCGTAATAAATTTTATACAACACAGAGTGCTTTTCCTAATTCGACCATTTAAATTTTTATAGTAAAATAAAACATCAAAGGGAAACATTAGTTGTTCGAAAGAGACAAATGTTGCGAAAAATAGCCAATTTTTTTTAAATTTCAAGGTCGTTGATCTACGTAGTTTTATCTTTTTGACGTTATAATTGACGTCAAGATTAACTCAATGATCTGTGGTAGCATGACCTTTATACGATCTTGAGTATGAAAATTAGTAAACGTAATTAACGAAATAACTACAACAAAAAACGATTATAAGAGAGATTCATTTTAACGAACGCTTGAAACGACCGTCTTCAATATATTTTTATAAACATTTGTTAAAATAAATTTATTTCGTTAGCCCCTCCATTGTAAATATTAAGATTTTTATATCTAAAGTCACCTAGAGGTCAGCCTATCGTAAATCATTAGGTTAATCTTGACGTCAGAAGTAAGGTCAAGATGATAAAAAATATCGATGACTTTCTTTGAAAGTCGAATTGTCTACCCCCCTATAGTTTTCTCTTTCAGGCTAATATTAAAACTCTAATACATCCTCTTAAATCGCCATTAAATTGTCATTTTCATCATCATCTCTCACGGTCAATTCTAAGTTTGATTTGACTTTCTCTTGCCATGTAGGTCGTTCAAACGTTTAGCGATACTTTGCTCACCAGATAGTTGTTATTAACAATTTTATACGCTACTAAGTTCGACCAACACTGTTTATTATTAAAAATTAAATCAGTTTGTGCGTCAGGAATTACATTTTAATTCCTAACATCATCTCTGTGCTGCATACAGTATTTAAATTATTATTTCGTAGGCTGAAGATGACTCGAATCTGAATCCACACGATTCAAATTTAAATTTTAAATTTAATTTCCGCGACTCGTTCATGACACGATCGAATAAAAAATATTTTCTTCTCGACTACAAGTTTTCATATGGAATCTGTACTCGTATCACGTACAGAATTTGCGAGGCTGCAGGTCGTTAAGAAATGGATTAAAATCGAGCAAAGTCAAAGGAATGTTGTTGTTCTCGTAATCACGAATATCATTTCCTTTAAAAAAAAAAAAAAAATAATTACGTTCGCCAGGATTCTGGTTCTTCCTCTCCGGATGTCTCGGTCTTGAAGTCACGGACAGCGCGCTCGAGCAAGGTTGAAGCAGCCGTAAGTTCGTACCGATGATCGTGACGCGAATCATGCTCCGCTAGAGTGAATTATTAACGATCTACCGTGAAGTCGACACCGACTACGAATGTCAGAGGACCTGACATCAGAAAGTTAATCGCTTATCCCGCGCGCGTCCTTTTAAAGCCGTTTAAAAGCACGCCGTTCACATTTCAAAAGCATTCAGAACTCTAAACGCTATTGTTACACGTCCATCCAACCGACAATGGAATTATTAGACTCGCTTTTTCGAGAGATCGATTACACGGAGTTCGGAGATATTTTTTAGCTAGGATAAACACAAAGTGAGAATATTGCATTTTATTGTATAGTAGATGACATGGTTCTGAAGGGTCTTTGACATGATATTAGTTTATTTATTCAATGTACTTGATAAAGAGAGTTTCATTTTGTTTGAAGTAATGATAAGGAAAACAAAGTGTTAGGTATTATTTTAATTCACTGAGGAGGACCAAAATGTGTTTGTGTGGACTAATAATAGGTCTACTTTCTTTCAAGAAACAATTGATTGGGAGCATTATTTTAGTTATTTCAAGTAATTGTTAATGTCAAAAGTTAAACTCACCTCTCCAGCGAACGCCTGTCCATCCACGGTGTGCTCGGATCCTCTAGAGTCGCTGCATCCCCAGTGACAATGATACTGTTCGAGTTTGTAGATATCATCCATCAGTGGACCACCGCTTAGAACTGCAAAAGAAAAACAACAATTCCGTTTGTGACTATGAATGATTCATAAAACATCTTCAGGATTTACTTTAACCCTTAAGTAGATCATAGAGGCCGCTGCGCCCTCCATTTTCTCAGATTTCCATTTACTAATTTGTTAAAACTCAACATTAAGTAAAATAATTCAGTTGAGATTGAGAGTCCATTTAAGGGTTAAATATCAACCACTTCTCTCCACTTTTTATTATTAAAATTCGAAGTAAACGCATAGATATCGAGTGTTTAGTGTTTTTCAAAGTGAGGATCGCAAAAGAAAAGTTTGGTAATTTTTAATTTCCCTCAAATTAACCAGTAAATCAATATTTTAGCTTTGACACAATCTCAATTTTCTTCTCTTAAAAATTTTGGAAATCCCCCAAACCGACAAATTTTGTTCGTTTCTCACCAAGTTACGAATTCTACGGTCGAATGGTACGAACTTATGGGGTAACCTATGTAATACTACGTATCGTCTGGTTTTCAGCGAAGTGACGTCATCGCGATCAAGGAGCACAGGGTTCTAAATTTAGTCGCATCCAGGGAGACCAGAAACGAGTTTCGTGCACCTCTTCCCATGACTCCGCAGGACGAACGCAGACCGTTCGAACGCGTTGAATTACAGGATACGCTTGATTAGCCGAATTGCGCGAACGAGGGGACCATAACTAGATCTACGATGTGCAAAGCAACGTCCGCGGTTGGCTCGGTACACCGACGCATCGCGATGCAAACGTCGATCAAGATTTACAGACTCGAGAAAATTCTAACGCGTATATGGAAACAACTTTTTTAGAGAAACGGAATTTATAATGCAATAGATCATGTTTTCAAACAGGATATACTGGTTCTCCAACGACACGATCTTCTTCAGATGGTCTTCCGAGATATCTGAGACTGTGACAGAAAATTGCTATTGGCAATGTGTAGTTGCATTTGTATCGAGTGCCTTTTCTAAGGAAATTGAATAATTCTGTAGAGAAATCGTAAATTTATAAATAAGTGTATTTGCTATAAAGATAGCAATCTGCTGAAGAAGCTTCATTCTCCGACGTCTAACGAGCTTGTGAGTGTGGGTCAGAACCGTCCGCTATCCGGCAGTTAATTACACGGCAATTTCCTTCGAGACGAAGAAACGTAAACAACGATGACGACTGTTGCAAAGTACCCCTAACGCGACACGGTGCAACGAACGAGATGCACTGGAAGAAAAACAATTCCCCTGCTATTAGCGCCGCCAATGGGGGAACATCGGTAGCTATTGTTGGTTGTTTCTCCGCTGGCGGCGCTGGTAGCCCGAGAAACAACTATTTCTTTCCACCCGTGTTACTGCAACGCCTTTCTGCGAATTACGATCGTTCGAAACGGTCATCGTTTCTTCGATTTCTCGAACAAAGTGCTGTATGCTCGATGAATTTCTTTTCCCAGCCTGTAGGGGAGTTCAATAAAACCGGTAATCGACGTTCGTCGGAGTCGCGGCGTCGCGCATGTTTTTTCGCGAACGTTTCGACGGCGGTTTCGTGCCGCTTAAAAGGAGGCTATTACCTTCGCGGTACTCTCGAAACGAGGACGACCGTGCCGTGACGCATTATGCGTGCTCATATGTGGCAGGAACGGGAACGTTTACATGACAGAAATAGAGCAGAATTTCAGGGAATCGATGCAGTCTACGGCCGCGCGATACCAACCGTTGGCCCATTTTTTTCGTTAACGATGACAAATCGTCCGAGATGACTGACAAACGCTCTCTCCCGCGTCGCCGGCGGAGAGTTGTTTGCCATTGTCGAGCGTCAATATTTAGCTGGTCGTTGACACAATAACGCGGGGAACACTGGGAACGAACAGGTGCTTTGCGACACCAGGGGGGAGCTCTTAATGCGACGAGCCTAATTCCGGACTAATCTTACCAATTATACGACGCCATTACTCGATTGCCGTGTTACGACACCGCCCCTGAATAGACACGGTCATATTTTCTAACGATAAACAGACGGATGCGTGTCGCAAAACGCAAGAACGTATTAGTACGCGATCGTGGTTGAAAAAATATTATTACGTGTTTCTGTCATCGCGATAGATCACCTGCCTATGTGTTCCTTGTAGTCACAAGACGTACGATTACGCAATACCTCGATCATACGCGAAACCTATTTATACTCCGACAATCCAAGTTAAACGTATTTCATACTACATAGATACGTATTTTCTTTGATACGCTCGTACGAAAACCCGTTGCTTTGATCTTTTTCACGCGACTCTATTGCATAATGCGTGCTACAATTTCTCATTAACGTAGCGATAACACGCAACGCATCACTGATTTAACGTGATAAGATAACGATATACGAGCATGTAAATCAACGTACGCTTGGAACGTTTGCTTTTCTTTGCCATTAAACGACGCTGTCTAGATAATCGGCGTTCTATGCGTTTCTAATCTCTGCGCGATACGTCGTATTGACAAAGACATGCTCGAGGAAAAGGAACGTCGGATCCTAGAAATCGCTTTCTTTTCTACGAACGTACTCGACACTATGACGAAGAAATTAATGGCTTTTTCGAGAGACGAAAGTCGAATGCAATAATAGAAATAAATTTGAATTTATACACGTTTAAGTACCACTTCATCTGGTTATGTCTAATGATTTTATTCTGTTTTTATATCAGGTATGAAACTTGTCCTAGTGGCTTACAAATATATGACATTCAAACCACTATTTTTTAACAAATTTATGCGTGAATTTGTATGTATGCTGGACTCTGTTTTAATACCCCAGGTATAGTTGATCAGAAAATCATGAAACAAATTATACATGAGAAGAAGTTTATAAAAAAATTACGTTTATTGTCGTGATCTCTATAGGGTTTTGACTTAACACGAGGAAAGTACTGCAACGACCCCATTTTTTATTTGGGCCATCTTGGAAAAAGTAAGGTAAGCGCTGCACTGGCGTTCTTAATCCTTCAGATAGCGTCGATAATCGTCGCCCGCAACGAGGATAAAGTTTTACAGCCATGAGATTTACGTTTACCAACGACGAAACGCGAGCTAGCTTTTCCTGGTGAGTTCCTGTTAAGGAGAACCGCCTCTTAACGGTGTCGGAAACGAACGATTAGAGCCGCGTTTCGTGCCCTGCTCATGCAACCAATTAGCTTCAGCTCGCGGTTAATACTAAAATCCACTTTGAACCGGTTGAGATTAAGTCCGTCGCTATTCACGAGCAAACATTCGGGGCGCAATGTTTGCGATGACGCGAAGAAGGCGAAACAACATCGCACGCTTCTTCGGTCAACGGTTGATTGATCTAACGAAAGATATTTCCGAAACGATCTTTCAATCATTTGACAAAATATCGAATTTTTCTTAATTTTTTTTAACCCTTTGCACATCTATATCGAGCGTGACTCGATATCAATTTTTATTTCAGGAGCTCCTTTCGAGTCCCACTCGACATTTTTTCAAGTCCAAACCAAGGAGATATCATACATTTGAAAATGAAAAAATACAACAATAATGTAAATAAAACAGATATTTAATTGAATTTGTTTGTTCCTCTATTTGATTAAATTTACCCTACTTTTTAGCTAACGTAAATTTCAAATAAAACACTTAAAAGCGTTGGAAGCTGCTGGTAACAAAATTCAAATATAATTCGGAGTACAAAGGGTTAAATTAAAAACGAGACTTCATAACTGATAACGAAAATATTCTATTCAACAAAATTTCAAAATTCTTTTCTAGGAAGGTATTTGACTATTAGGAGATAAAAATATTTCGTTGATTTTGAATACATCAACGTATACAATATTATCGCTATATTATTGCTTCTTCCTGATATGTTAACATTTCCTTGTTCCGTGATTCGAACTTCCGGTTGTCATCGTGTTCGTCCTTCCAGAGTTTGACATAGTCCAACTCGTTTGACAAGCTTTTGACTAACACGGTTGCTTTACGAGTGAATAAAATTTGTTTTCGCGCGCATATGTTTTTTTTTTTATGCATGACTAAGCTAGTCAAGGTATTAAGTACTTGTTTCAATTCATATCTTTCATTTATGTGTTACGAGCGGGAGCGCGAGATCCTGGATTCGGTCGAGGGGCAGTACTCGACCGGTGGTTTTGGGTATGGTTAGGAAAAGAAAGGAGGTCCGGACGAACCAGGGGCTCTATACCCTGGGAGCCGTAGGTGGAGGTTACGTGGACGAACCAGGGGCTCTATACCCTGGGAGCCACGGGGTTAGATTTATAGGGAAAATGAATGGTTTCACGGACGAACCAGGGACTCTATACCCTGGGAGCCGCTAGTAGGAGTGGACGAACCAGGGGCTTTATACCCTGGGAGCCACGTAGGTTTTTAGGATGTTTTAGGATCTTGCTCTCTGTCGTGATGGTACACCTCGAGCGGTAAAGGTGTACCGGGTTCGTGAGATACCCCTAGCCTTACGGTTAATATGGTTCAGGGTTGCTTTGAGTGAATAACACACGTAAGGAATAACAACTTGAATATATATTTTTGACGTTGCTCAAGTACAGCTATGGATTTACAAGAAGTTGTACAATTGCTAAATTGCCTCGAAGGCGAAAGATTTGTTATCGGCTTTTACGCGGCGCGTTCGCGGGAGCTCTACTCGATTAATGGACACTCACTGATAAACCGCTAAGGTAGATAGTCGTAGATAGTTGCTTGAAGGGGATTATAGCCCGATCTTGCCCTGAGTGTCACAGTAACGTCGTGCCAAGAGTTTAGATAAAACTGAGCTCCCCGAGTAAGAAACCGCGGCCCTTATATAGTTGAAAATGCTCAGTACTAAGGCGGGGCATTACCATAAAAGGCAATGAAAATTGGGCCGGGTGTGCGCATACGGCATGAGTCAACCCCGTTCAAAGGGTTGCTCGCTAGATGCTCGAGCCAACGCCCAAGTCACCAAACGTTTCAGCCCCATGCATGAATGATATGTAACATATGGAACGAGACGTTCATTTTT